CCTAATTTCTGGAAGTGCATTACAATTTGTCCAAAAAGGGTGCAAGAGGTCAAAAACATAACTTCTTTCATATCTCAATTTGAGTAACATCTCTTGGATGAGTGTCAATAGGGTCATTTCACGATAGTGCGCCTCCAAGAGTTTGCAACGCACTGGTCTATCATAATGCGCGAAATCTGTCGACCCAATGCGCATTTGGAAAGGGTCGACTGATTTTTGTGCATTGTGATTGGCCAAGGCGTTGCAAACTCTTGGAGGCGCACTACTGTGAATTGCCCATATTAAATGCTAGCATCCATCAAATAAACAATAACAGGAATCTGGATACATTATAGTGCTTTTGACCAATTTTTTAAATTGACATAAGTGGGATTTGAACCACCGCCCTTTGGCACTTTAAAACGATCAAACGGAGACACGAGTAAACAACATAGACTTCATGCAACTGGTAGACAAAATTTCATGCTGAGCAAAAATTCCTGCTCAGCAGATAAACAGCTGGGAACCGGTCATACGCAAAACACATCAGTTACATTTTGGCCAGTAACCTGTTCCTGCGAAGCAAATCTATTCCCCTCTTAGCAAATTTCCAGCACTCAGCAGGAAAAAAGCTTTGGCACGTACGTGTTGATGACGTAGAGCGCCATGTGCAGCATGTATGGCAACAGGTGGATGTTGCTCTGCCGTCCCCCGCCTCCGCTCTCGTTGCTGAAGGACCGCTCCATGGCAAAGCGCTGCAGCAACAGCTTAATGTCATGGATGGTAGCGTGGTAGTTGGGCTCATGGTGGCCTGTGCACTCCTGCAGATAGATGTTGTGCCTGGGGGGGAAGGGAACCGGGAAGGAGAGGGAGGCCAATTATATATCAGGATTACTAAGGCGTAATGGTAGAAAGCTGGTAGATAGATGCTGTGTGTACAGGTTCTTCACAATGGGCAAAGGCATTTCAGGAAGCATACCGTGTCCGTGGAGGTGCATGCATAGTTGAATCTGTGGATTTCTATTGGTAGTTTCGTACATGCCAGAATGGGGAGAGACTTTGAAGGCACGAACATTTCTGTGCACATTGAATGCGGACTGTCAAAAATTACATGACTGAAAATCCTCTATACTGTGAAAAAGGGGGCGAGTATCAATTACATGCAGGGCAAACAAAGAAAGCGACAGTACATGGTGGAGTTTGCGTCTGAGGGGGACCGAGCATACAAGTAGCTAGTTATGATCTGGATAATTGCAGTAAAGTATCTTGCTTGAGGACACCGGCATTACATAATACCATTCATTTTAATAGAATGGCTCCCGTACTCCACTAATTTCACTCTACATAAATCCAACGTTATGTCTGGGTGACTGTAACTGTGCTACCACAGTGCCACGAGGTAAGGAATGTGGGAGGGGCTAACTGACTGAGTGGGCCAAATTCTTCTTACCTTGCCAGGCAGCTAGCGAAGGCCGATTCTGGTACTTGTGGGCCCCACAGTGGTAGCAGCCCATTGCACTTGGTGTTAGCGTTCTGTAACGCAGCGCTCTCCCATTCTTCGCGGCCGCGGGCATGCCTAGGACACAAGACAATGGACATTCACTGCATTCATATAACTCACTGTGTAGATAATCTGACTGAGCCAATGTAGCCTTGGCCATGACAGAATCGGGTATGTTGTGCTACGACTTCAGTTTTTTGTTACTGGCATGCCACACTGAACAGCCACAACAATAGCCAATAAACATGGCCTATGTCAGTATTAAATACAAAGGCCTGTTAGCCTCAACTGTGACTTTCATGGAGCTGCTAGGCACAGGGAAATATCTGCTAAGCAGATACAGGTTACCAGCCAAAATATAGTCATCCATGCTGCTTGTGACTGGTTCCCAGCTGAATTTTGCTAAGCAATAACATCTGCTCTGCAATATAATCTGTTCAGCAAACTGCATGATATTGAGCCTCAGAAAGAAAGTAATTTGTTTCCTCTAATGGCTATGATGAAACGCCGGAGTCTTTGGCAGCAGTCCTTAGCCAAAGCCCCAATCTGTCCAAAAAAGTCTCAGCCTCAGACCAAGCCACAGTGACAGTCAGAGAGCGGCTTACCTGACGGCTGCCATGTGACAGTCATAGTGCACTATGTTAAAGTGGGACACAGTGCTGTAGCCTTGCGTCTTGCGTGATTTGGTCTCATACTCCTCCAGAGGGTGGCACTTGGTGAAAGTGTAGATTCCGAGAACCTAAAATGGAAAGAACAGTTGGTAATTTATCAGTAGGACAGACTTTTCGCTGCACTACCCTGATCTGTAGATATGTTTGCCCGCCCACTAGTGCCTAAGCCCTGCCCCTCTCCAGATTGTTCCCCCATGATTACATATTGTGTCAAATTCTTTAATACGCAAGTGACAGTGCTTCAAGTAATGCTAGACTTGCCATATGTCCCGCCCCTACTCCATAAGCCCCTCCCCCGGCCTAACTGACCCTGCCCCTGCTACACTAGTCTCATCCAATTTCACACCAATCAGTTCTCCAGTATTTCCGTCTGTAGTTGTCACTTTTCTGAACTTACATATCTCATCGGGCTACATTCATCCAACCGTGTCTCTTTCTTTACAGGCCTCGCCCACTTCGTTCAAACCCTCCGCCCACGATTTATTACCTTCTGTGGTTGGTACTTGTACCCTTCCCTGCATATACAGCAGGTCAGGCCAGATTCGTCAACCAGCTCCTCCATCTGCTTCAGGACTGAGCGTTCCGCAGTCACTTGGCCCTTCTCATTGGTCTGTTGGAGGCAACAAACGTGACAATGAGACAAAACATCTTCCAAGACCTTTAATCTGTTGGAAAATACTGCTATAATGCCCATTAAATGACCTACTAGCATTGAAACCTGATGTTCATGTGGATAATGAGAAACAGGAGAGAGGAAATTGCAGTCAAGTGCCCTGCTCAAGGACACAAACAGTATTATCCCTTATTGGATATGGGATAAGAGGTCATGCCTCTATTCAATTAAGCTCTGTCCACACAGTGACAATCAGCATCTTCCAAGAGCCGTTGATGTATACTGCCCTCAAGAGTCTCACCCACAACCTGTGGTAGACTGACATTCCAGACTCCAAACTACAGCCCATCAGACAGGCAGTTCCCTACTCACCGACATGCCGAGTGCCCCTAGCTGCTTCTGTCTCATAGCCATGGCCAGTCGTTTCTTCTCCGCCTTGGTCTGTGCTCGCACCTCATCAATCTGAAGAGGTAAACAAAGGTTGACATTATGAAAAGGTACACAAGGCATTTCATTCACAAGAGATTGTGTGCATAAAACATCACCTCAGCCTGCTGTGATGTGAGTTGGCTTGGCTCAATGATGTACTTCAATACGGAACCTCATTTATTCCATTTAGTATCTTATAAACTCATCAGTTTATGGATGGTTTGGCTGACATAAGAAGGTTCTTTCAATTTTTTTCTGAAATGCCTCAGACAGAAAGGTCTCCAGCTAGCCATCTATAGCCCATTTGAGTTTCCCGGAGAGTACCTCAACTCTCCATCCCAATATTTATCTTCATCTCTTCAATACTCTTAACCCTGTTTACTTGGTTTCCTCAGCAACGAGTTTGACAAACCATGTGAGCGTCTAAAAAAAAAAAAAAGACCCACTCCTACCCTCTTATCTCCTCACCAATCTCCTATACTCACCTTCTTGGCCACCTCCGGGTTCAGCTTGATGGACTCCATGAGGTTCTCGGACAGCGACCCGATGCCCTCTTCGCTGGAGATCTGCTCCATGCGATGGATGGCCAGGATACACTCAGCACCAACCAGCAGCTGAACACCAGAGAGGAAAGGAAAAACCAGAAAACCAAGTCAAGAAAAATCTAGTGTTCGCTGCTTTTCGACTCGACAGCTCACTTGAACCTCCCTCAGCGGCAGAGTCTAGGTGATGCAAAAATCTGCCCAATAGATGTGACTATGACTTAGAGATACATACTTTCTTGTGGGAAGAAGATTCAGCCACTTCCATAGGCCAAGTATTTTGGACGCAGCTGAGGTTTGAATGGAGGTTAAGAGCTGTTACGCTGTGATGTAACCTCTTCTTGATATCCGTCAAATTGGCTTACCTGTGAGGCAGGGTGGCCCGTGCATAAACCAGTCAGGAGCCTCAGCACGTAGGGAAGCGACGGCTTGGCTAGAAACTCCTTCCATGGAGGGGACTCAAGACTAAAAACGGCAACAGGGAAATGTGAGGGGAATCTTAGCTTTGATATGGAACCTCAGTGACTTCTTTCTGTCCTCTTGAATTGAACATTCTAGCCATCAGTACCTTAACCCTGACCAAGTTTAATACAACAAAATTATGAAAAGGTAATTCATACCGAGGGTTGAGGTCACAAAAGAATGATTAAATAACAAAAATTTGAGTATATTTGAATCCGTCATGGATACACAGTGATATCTCAAGTATGGCTCTACTACTGTACACAATAACTGCCATTAAAAAAAAAAATCCTGTGATGTCTCACAAGTTCAATGTCATCTAGCCACCAACTTATTTTTCTTTGAGAAAAAACTAGAGCCACTTTACTTGGATGCCTTGGGCAGGTTGCGGGTGATGTAGCCCACGGCTTTTCCCACAATGCCTTGCTGGATGATCAGATCTTTCAGCGCATTCCCGTTGGAGTTATTCTGCAGAGAGACATCAAATACCATCAGTATTGTTTTTTGATATTATGCTTTGAAGCCAGTCTAATCCTGTACTTTCCTCATCTTCTCCACGCAAAATGAGTGGTAGATTTTAGACACTATATTTAAGTGCTTTCTGATGGATGACTCATCAAACAGAGCGATTTCAAAGTAATTTTTCTCTTAGACTGCAGTTTTGTAAATTATCCCAAAATTACGAAGGAGAAATAGCAAATAATTCTGGGATTGTGACCTAGGGACAGCACCCTTGAGCCAACTTGGTTATTCCAACCAAGGACTCACCTCAATTCCTGCAGCGATGGCACAGAAGCACTCTAAATGGATCTCATCATCCTGGGTGTGATCGCCGTCAAATCTGAGAGGGGAAAAACAGGCCATGGATAGTTAATTCCGCAAGACAATTAAAGCTTGATAAGTACATTTGGTCCTTAAAATTCTTCCCTTGTCAGTCTTTGAAAACACAGAAAGTACAGACTCACAATATTTTTGCTTGGTGAAGTACCTCACTAGTGCTTTACAGGTACTTACAAGTGCTTTGTTAGTATTCACAAGTCTTTACAAGTACCTACAAAAGAACCAGTCTCAGTGTTGGCTTTGAGCAATTTATATACACTGTAACAAAGACATTTATCAGTGAGATCTCTTCACAAATATATGTCAAGTGCTAGTGAAGTACTCGACTGCGTGACCCTTTTTCCCTTACTTGTCAAAGTCCAGGTAGGGCTCAAAGTGCAGCACCAGGGTGGTCATCTTCTCCTTGTCCCCGAAGGACAGGAAAGGGATGATCCGCATCAGGCCCTGGAGGACCGAGGAGTGGGAGCGGACGAAGGGGCTGTTGATGCGGTCCAGGAGGGCTACCAGCTGGCTCTTGTCGCAGGCCAGGATGACGGTGGGCTTGCCGTGGTCCAGGGGCTCGTTGTTGGCCTCCTGCAGGATCACCTCCATGATGGAGAGGAGCTGCTCTGTCACAGCCGTGCCCCCGCCCGATCCGGGCTCTTCGTTCTCGGCTAAAAGGACCTACAAACAACAACATGATACCCATCATTTCTTTAGGGTTGCGTGCATAACTGACAAAGTGCTACCAAGCACCTTTTTTCTGTGAGCTTTGTAAAACTAGGCTTTTTGGGCCAAAAGGACACACAAATGATGACAGAATCCTGGCAAATCTCACTTTAAGGCTGCACGTATGTGCATCAATGACACGATGCTTTAAAGCACCATGTTTTTTTCTGAGCTTTCTAAAAGCTTCAGTAAAAAGTTTACAACTTTCAAATTGCAGGTCTAAGTCTCAGGCGAATGATTCTTGGTTGAGACTCAACCCTACAATCTTATTTTAACTACCCCTTGACTCAACGAGTTCTGCTGACTGGCTGGAAATGGTAAAGTAGCAAGACCTACAACGTGACTTGTTTCATGGTACTGTCTCAACACC